TGGCATGGATCCCTGCAGATTATAGATAAATAATATAAGACTCTAGCAACCTTTAAAGTTTTAGAATATATTTGTGAAGGTTTTTTGATAGAAAAACCAAAGACACTTAACAGAGTTTAAGAAATACACACCACAGAGCCTCATCACTCAACACATGTGAAGACTGCTTCCTGTGCACCCAGGGAAGCCTGTTTAACACAGCAATAGATACAACAGAACCTTTCAAAGAGATCAAAGTACCACGTAGCTTACCATTCATCAGGCGAGCACCCATAATCCTCAGGTTCAGGGACATGGCTTCAAGAGGAAGGACAGAAAGAGAGGGTAAAATAATCACAGAAAGGCTGGAAACATAAAACCATGAATGAGGGAAGTGCTGAGAGGCAGGTTTCTAGAAAGTTAAGAAAATGAACTTTTAGTTGGATCTGGAAGAATGGCAGTTAGTACAGTGAGAAGAACATGAGGATTTATGGTAACCAGGTGGACTTACAAAGGTACTCCTTATCCCAGAATCGACTGAAGCACAGAAGCCAAAATTTAGCAATAAATACGTTCAAACATAGCTGTTTAAACATGCTATAAAGCCAGTAGGAAGTCAATCATTTATATTTATAACCATAGCAGTGTTTTAATGACACAAACATGCTAGTCACCTAGGGCACAATCACAGGGAAAAAAAGATATCGAAGCTTTGACTGCCTTTCGACAATAGCTTCCTAAGGGGGCACGTGAAAGTACAAGTTAACTGTTAATTGTATTTCTTTGATTAAATGGAACCACTGATATTAAAAATGATCCACTCAAGTAATTTTTAATCTTGAAAGATGTTTTCATCAATACTTTAATTTTACCCATGAGCCCATTGAAGCATGGGGAAAGATGTAGTTATTCCAACTTTCATAAAACACCCAAAATACATATCAGGGTAGATTTTCTTATTTCCCAGTTCTTTCATTACACATGATAATTCAGTATTTCCCTCTTTAAATTAGACTTACTGTACCCAGTAGGGTTTAAAATGAATACATGGTTTTTGATGACTATAAAAAGTTGCTGGAACTTACAGAATTCATTAACTCCCTCAATGCCTGCCCACTTTTAACCTAGTCACGACAAGGTCTACTTACAAAACATTACATTTCCTCCAGGGGCAATGTCCTCTCTATTCTAGCAGTCACAATGAAAGGGATCCCTTTAGCCTAGTATTCTTTCCTGTCAAAGGCTTGTGTTTATCGTTTAGGAGTAAGCATTCACCCTGACCATCTTGGGCTGGATTTCCAGGAAAGATGCTGGCCTGTAGCAATGCACTATGGAAATGGGCTCTAGCACCAAGGACAATCACTTGTGATTAACCTCAAAGTTGGGGCTAGAGCCCCTGCACTGTTCAGGAGAGCACTGGTAACGGTCCAAGAAGGAAACACTGGAAGAAGGTCCTGACAGCTTGTATTGGTATTCTACCCTGCTTATACAGAAAATCCTGACAGCTTGCACTGGTATTGTGTCCCTGATCATGGAGAAGGTCCTGACAGCTTGCGCTGGCATTATGCTCTGCTCATAGAGAAGGTCCTGACAGCTTTCACTGGTATTGTGTCCCTGATCATGGAGAAGGTCCTGACAGCTTGCACTGGTATTTTGTCCCTGTTCATTGAGAAGGTCCTGACAGCTTGCATTGCTATTCTGTCCTGCTCATGGTTTCTTTCACACCAGCTCTGGAGCTAGTGCTTCCTAAGTCATGAGGCTTACCACCCCCCCCCCCCCAGCACAAGGGCTACATTTCCTGCCCATGAATCTAGTGCAGGCCTGTCAGAAGCTGAGTGCTGTGTAGAGGGTGGTGGACAGCAGGTGGCTTGTTTGTATGATTTGCCATGGATACTATTATATTATAATTAATTAATGCCTATTAACCCCAGTTAGACTGTAAACTCTGGGTGGGAACCATGTAAACTCTGGTTTATTATTAGGTTTCTATTACTTAACAAAGAGCCACCTGCAGAAGGAGGCAGATCAACATTTGTTGTAGGTAAACAAAAGGTCATGTTGGCCACCAGACACATGAGCTAGATATAATCTAGTCCTTAGGGCTAGGTGTATGATAACTGTGCAGATTTTCCTGGTGAATCTCTCCTATCAAACATCCTTCTAAACAAAACCTGCCATGTAAACTATTCACATACTAAAGTTGGTACAGACAGATCATCGTTAAGAATCTCCATCTGTTCTACCAAAAGGGAAAGGGTAAATGATTTAACATTAATCAAAAAGAATTGCTCAGGTTGCTTAATAGATATTTTTTTTAAGCCACAGAGAGAGTATAGACTAAATTGCTGACAAGGACAGTATATAAAGTAAACTCTTCAAATCTTCACAGCCACTGAATACAGAAGTACTCATGTATTACGGATACTCAACTGGCTGTGATAACACAGGCATTCCCATAGTGTAACTTGCACACTGATACTTTCCTAAGTGTTTAACAGTATAACTTCTAGATTGTAGCAAGTTAAATTTATACATGATAACAGTTTATGTATATTAATTACAAGTTTCCCATAAGATGACTAAGGAAAAAAAATCCAGTAAATGCAAACATAGGCATCCTTACTACAAAGCTGATTTTTGAGAAATAGTTATTGCTGGCAACTGTGTATAAATCTTTGAATTTCATTTATGAAATTCAAACAGAAAAATTTTGAGGCAAAGCTTAAATGAAACGAGAGGAACTTTGCAAATGAAAACAGAAAAATTTTGAGGCAAAGCTTAAATGAAACGAGAGGAACTTTGCTAAAATTAAATTCTGAAACATTGGTGTTAAGTACTCTATTCCTACAAAATTTCTGGATACAGAGAACTGGCTACAAACTCCACTGTTGGGAGATTAACAGCCCTTACCTTCTAGCTGATACAATGAGACAGACTTTACTGGGAGGCAGAAGAAGGATTAGCTGTGTGCTTATTTGTTGGCATTTAAAGTGTGTTACTTTCTCTTGTTTTGTCAGTTCCCAAGGATTCAGTGGAGATGAACACTGGGATATCTGTACTAGCTCCTCATATTTAACACAGTTACAGTATAAATGGGAACTGTGTAGGTTCCTGTAACCCATGAGGGTTCAGAGGAAAGCCCATAGTAAGGTTGCTGACTGTGACGGACTCTCCTCTGCGTGTCAGCTGTGGATCAGATATCTAAGGCTATACCCCTGACATAAACATGTGCTCAGTAAAAGTCAGTTTCTCCAAATCCTCAGTATATCACCAACCCTCCAGAATGCCGAGGCTCCAGTAATCTGTAAGGATGAGTGAAACTGGAACTTTTTTTAAAAAGGGGGAGGACCTAGGGTGATCAAAATACATTATATAAAACTCTCAAGGAATTCATATATGAATTTATATATACATAAAATCATACCAAGGGCTATGGGCACTAACACAAATAAATGTACAAGCCCTGTGTGACGCTGGGAAGTAGCTTAACTAGCTGAAGCATGGCTTTCAGCATTCTTGAAAGCATGAAGCTACACCTAAACAGGACCCACTCCCATTATAGTGTTGATCTCTGCAAACAAAGGGACTTCTTTCTGTTCTTACTACTGAACACGTTAGAACTTCCTATCTTGAAAGGACATTAGAGGTTTATTTTATTCAGTTTTATTAAGTTTTACAGAGTTAAGAATATCTGAAAGGGAACTGTCTAGGGTCACAGGAGGGAATCTAATACATCTCTAGAATTCATACCTTATCACTTCACCTCATTCTTAAGAAATGATGTTCTCACAAGGACATTCATTTCATTAACCATCTAATTCACGGGATTGGCACTTTGCTCAAACCCACCCTGTCCTCCCAAACTTGTGCATTATGACGTTATCAACAGCCAGAGAAGCATTCTTCTTCTGCACATCTGGCCAGGGGTGATTAAGACCCTGTTCTGAGCACACAAAAAACCCAGAGAGAAGCTGTTCTGCCTCTGGCCTAACCATGTGTAGAGTGTGCAAGCACTTGATGTCAAAGGACGTGACTATAATTGTCCTGCTCCAACGATGGGGGAGAGCTGTTTTGTTGGAGAATTATCAGGCTTCAGATAAAGAGAAAAAAAAATGGAAACTAGAAACCAGTATTCTTCCCAAATCAAAAGCCTGTCTCCGCAGTGTGGAAAAAGCCATCCTATCACTGTATCCACAGGTTGAAGACATTTTGAATCAAACTCTCTCCTGTCCTCAGAAACAAGCCTACCAGTCCCTGCTCCTGTTCGAAGACACTGTACACAGGAATACTAATAAATTTAGTTTAAAATATTTTTAAAATTGAACACCCCTTTTCCATTGACTTGCTGCTTAAAGGTAAAGTATGAATGAAAACAGACGGTGCAAGCCAAACCAAGTAATGTGTTTATGACGTCAATATTTACTTGCTGCACTGAGGTAAGGATAGCTGTAAAATTTGCTAAGGCTAGTGCCACTCAACAAGAACTGAATGGTTTAGGGAAGCACACATATAATAAGAAATAAATTAAATGGATGCCACACCCAATCTGAAGCACAGTAACACTTCTGTTCTCCAGATGTTCATATCCCTACCTCTTTCCCATATCAGAATTTTAGATTGCTCTGTGACTGCAAAGGGGAGACATGATAAAAGATAAAACAAGAGTAATTGTCAAAGCAGCACAGTATTCTTAAGTTAAAGACAGACCATGGCCTCACTGCAGCTTCTTCATACATCTATACTGTACCCCGACTTAGGGCAGAGCAAAGGGCCTTTATCACTAGGCCCAGATGGAGAGCTTACAAAACCCCAAACACTAAGACCTGCCAGTCAGTATCCACCCCATATCATCTCCCGAGGAAAGCAAAACCAGCTGTAAAATACACAATTAATCTACTCCAAAGGAAAAAGAACTGCTTTCTAGATTAAAAAACAAAACAAAACAAAAAAAAACAAAAAACAAAACTCAAACCCTCTTTGTACAAGAAATATTCCAAATGGATGACACCAACCAAATGTGTATGTCATACACCAAGTAACGGGAACACACTCACCCATAAGCCACGCCTGCGATGGTGCACTTCTTAAACTGCATCACATTGCATGTCAGGGTCCCAGTTTTGTCAGAAAATATGTATTTAACCTACAAACAAGTTTAAAATCCTAATTAATATTTCAGGGCTTTAAAATTTCCAACTTGGTGTTTTATGCATATCAGGCAAATACCTACCTATGAGTTATATCCATCCTGCTCAGAAATTTTTTACAGCGGGAGGAAAATGTACTTTTATACTTTCCTTAAAAGTCAACTTTGTTTTACCGTGGGGGTAGAACGGCTGCTAGAGTGGCTTTCAATACAATCTTTAAGGAGCAAGTCAGCTCTTTTAGTATTTCAGTGATCAATTCTTTTATATATGGGAATTATTGTGTATTAGAAAAACTAGAGTCAGAGATAAATCTGCTTCAGGATAATCTGAATTTCTGCAGAAAGTTTTACTGCTGTTTTCAAACATATACAGCACTAAGACCTAAGCAGTATTTCTCAATATAACAGGAAATTCTAGGGTTGGCAATAGCTTGTGCAGTTAACTTCAGATACCGTCTAATTTGGTAAGGAAAAGTATAAACCATTCTAAATACAATTTGAATAGTATGAGTTGGAAAGTGGAGGAGAAAACAAAAGTCCCTTATAGCTAGTAACTATAAATGGCTTATACACACACACACACACACACACACACACACACACACACACACACACACACACGTCACCTAAGGATGCTTTAGTTAATTAAGGGTGCATGTATGAGATAGACATCACAATACTATACCAATATTATACCGCTTGCCTCCAAAGGCCATAGTTGTTAGCACGTGGAAGTGTATTTTATGATGTTTACATAATGATGACATCACCTGACAATGCACTGCTCAGATCACATCCCTGGTAAGTGATGCAAGGCTGTATGTATTAACGAAGTATGAGTTAAAAATCTAATCCAAATTCCTATTTGACTGGACTCATCCAACTTGTACTTTTCCTTCCTTCTGGATGAAAGTTATGAACAATTCTTTTACTATTCCTATAACTCAAAACCAGCCAATATTTTATAGCTAATCAGAATGACTACTAAGAAACACACCTAGGCTTGCACGGCATCTCGTCTTGAAAGAAAAATCTGCTTTAGTGTCTGAAAACTCCACTGTTACATATGAATACTGTATGTCAGGCATTAACAAATGCATTTATGTGGATTATTCAAACAATGGAAAATGAGGAGATGCTACTTCATCTGAAGTCACCACATAAGGCAGAAATTCTACCAAACCTCACTTCTGATTCAACTGTGTCAGTAAGAGCTTACCTGGCCAAGTTCCTCATTCAGATTAGATGTCCGGGCCATTGCAGCAGTATCTGTGGGCTCATAGTGCATGTCAAGATCCTACAAGTAAGTGACACCCTTGAATACAAGGTACTGGAGGACTGGATCAGCAAAAGACATCACTTTGTTCTTTCATGTTTCACAAGTCACCATTTGGCTGCTGAGCTCTGTAACCACTCCAGTTCCTTGCTATCTCGACATGACTCTATGTGACAGTCCTGAAAACTAGTCAGGGGACAATGGTTCACTTTCATTAGAACAGGAGAGTATGGTAATGAGAGCTTGTCTACAGAGTCAGATAGTCCATTTAGTTTCATTCTTCATTTTCAATAAATGTAGGAATTGATTTAACACAATACACATGAAGTGCTCACTAGAGTGATGAGAGGTAGAGTAGTTGTTTAATGATGTTTGCTAGAAAGGCAGCTTAATGTTTTCATATACTTAGCTCTTCAAGCAACAGGAAAAGTTATCTAAGCATATCTGGTTGAACTTCCTGATGGGAGATGTCATTCTGTAAATATGTTTATCTTATTGGTTGATAAATAAAACATTGTGGCCAATAGGGCAGCAAGATAGGCAGTTCTAGGAGATGAGGAGGATTCTGGGAGGTGTAGGCAGAGAGTGGTCACTTTGTAGGATGCCAGAGGACCTTTCTCTGGTAAGATAAGACCACGTGGAAATACTTAGATTAATAGAAATGGGTTAATAATTAAGACGAAGATAGCCAATAAGAAGCCCTAGTCATTTGGTCAAACAGTATTATAATTAATATAAGTCTCTGAGTGTTCATTTGGGGCTGACAGGGCTGGCAGGAAAGAATTATCGTAACAACTTCCCAAGCTAAGTTTCTTTTATTACAGGTACTTGACAGTCAACCAAAAGAGGTATAATCTTGTATTTCTTTGAATTTGCATTGCACTCAGTGACCATGAGGTCTGATCCCACTGTCCAACCCCATTATCGAAGAGTTTTTGCAGCAGAATATTGTATTAAAAAGTCAGGGCTGTATAGTTTGTTGGGTTTTACATCTCTACTGTCACTGTTTTTGGACCAGGCTTTGAGTTTCCATGTCATGTTGGAAGACAGACATTTGCCAAGTGAGTCATGTTGAGAGAGGAGAAGAGAGGGCTCTCACATAGATTAATCTGAAAGCCATATGAAATGAAGACCAGCCAGAGGAGAGGAAGGTGTCTGAATCAGGAGGGACAGGCATGACAGAAGAACAGGTGTGACAGGACAGCTGAGGTTGAATGTTTTCAAAGCTATCGTTCAGAAATCCATACTGTATTGTTATATGGACATATAGTTCTTTTGGAGAACTGGCCAGAGCCATAATCCAGGAAATAGTTATTGATCTCATTTCCATCAAAGGAGGGAGCTGGCTTATCAGGGCCATCACAAAGTCTCTGCTAGTTAAGAGGGTGGCTAAAAAAGCAAGAGCCTGCCGGGCATACTCAACACTACCATTTTGTAATTATTCAAAACCAAATTCTAGTTTTTGAAAACTCACACAAAAAATAAGGACTTGAGTAGCCATTTGATCTTCACAGTGCATTTACCTTATTATTTATGTGAATGAGAGCCCTTCATTAACTTCAATTATCTGTATATATGGCTCAATTCTTCAGCACATATTCCCTGTGTAGAGTGAATTATGCCTGCTGCTCATTTCAAATTCCTAAATTACACTGATCTTTTACCAAAGACAAGAAAGAGGCTGACATTTTAGCAATATTACTCACCAGAAGAAGACAATGAATAGCTGTAAATGTATCCTTGGTTATATTTTTAAACTCCAAAATTGTTCATATTAAATGCTTTAAGATGAGTTTGGAACATAAAGTGAAATCAAAATTTCTCAAAACATTCAACTTTTTGGCAAATTATGCCTGAAGATATAATTTACACAAACCCATTAATTTTAACTAAGATAAAACTGAAAGAACAAAATGATATTTGATGAAAAAATACAGATGTTTAATCCATCTCTCTAACACATAAAACAACAATATAATAATTCAGAAGGAAAACCATGCACGCTGACGTCAAACAGAAAACAGATGTTTAATCCATCTCTCTAACACGTAAAACAACAATATAATAATTCAGAAGGAAAACCATGCACGCTGACGTCATTTATAGTGTCAAAAATGAACTAGATGGAGGAACAAATTCCTCAGTCATGTTGGCAGAAGCACAGCTACGTGCTTGATCGCTTATAAAATTCTTTGCCATGTAAACAGATTTCGGAGTTGCACAAGTATTGCAAGATTTAGGTAAAATACCTTGTCATTGTCATGTTAGTGTCCAGAAATAGAGTTCCAGGAAGTCAAGTGACTAGACAAAGTTGCTTATGTGTTAAATTATGTCACTGAATCTACAAGACAGATATTACAATTCCAAATGCAGGGTCTCTTCCTCTATAGACACTCTGTGTCCCCAAGCAGGTTTCCTGAACTAGACACCAGTTTTCCTCAGGATGTCTGGTGTTATCAATTTGCCTGATTCTGAGCATACCATGTTAAAATTATATTAGGCTTAAAAAAATACTGTCACATAGTCAACAAAAACAACATATAATTAAGACTTAAAAAAATTTTTTTAACCTCCACGGATCAAAAGGCCCTATCAGAGTATATTAAAAAACGAGAGACAAAATACATACTAAGGAAGATGATATATAATACACATTCATACTTACCCAATTTATGAAGTATGCCTGGGTAAACTTTACCACTTCTAATGTAACCAACAAGCTGATGGGAATGAGGTTGTTGAAAAGGATAATGAAAGTCAAGAAGTTTAGTCCAAAATTATTAGCACCACCATCTGTTGGGAAGGAGGAAGAACATCGTTTATAGGTTTGTATCTGCAGCGAGAAAACCTGAGCACCACATCAATTTCCTATATTATATAGCAAGTCTAGACAAACCAAGGAAGACTTTGCTAATAACATATCCTCATTCTCAAACACCTCCTTCAGTGTTGAATCAAAGTTCAGTCATCCCTCTCTCCAGGGTCTCTCAACAGGGATTCAACCAATTCTAGAGTGAAAATATTTGTCTGTACTTAATATGTGTAGACTAATTATTTCTTAAATAATACAGTGTAATAACCACCTACACAGCATATACTTTGCATCATGCATATTAAGTTATCTGGATATGACTTACAGTATATGACAGAATACACAGAGTGCAAAACTGGGTCATTTAAAATAAAAGGCTTGGGCATCTGTCAGGTTATTGACCTTTCCTGATGTCCTTGCACCAAGTTCCAATATGATACAGAAATATAGTTGTATCTGTATTTAGCAGGTTAATTCTATTAAGACCCCCACAGTGCTATTAAAAAGGGAAAGAAACCCAGCATGGTGCCTTTAATCCCGGCACTAGGGAGGCAGAGACAGGTGGGTCTCTTGCTTGAGTTCCAGGTGAGCCTGGTCTACAGAGTGAGTTCCAGGACAGACAGGTCTACACAGAGAAACCTTATTGGGGGAAGCCAAGAGTGAAAGAAAAGTGCAAAGTGCTCTAGCTATTGGTATTGCAAATCGTGCTCTAATAAGGAAGTTCAGAGACATTAGGAGGGTTGAAGGTTTATAAATGCAAATTTTAATTGGGTGGAACCACTTGTATGTAAATTGTTGAAAGCATTTTCAGACTAAAGCGCGGTTTGAAAGCAAACCCATTAACAACTGGAACAATCCAGTTGTAAGAATACTTGTTTTTTTTTTTTTTTTGTTTGTTTGTTTTTTCTCCATTACTGGTCTCTGGGAGGCCTTGTACATAGCCTGTAAGCTGTGTACTTAGCTATTGAGCTGTATCCTTAGCTACAGGAACATTATTCATTCTCTAGGTAAATTAGTCTCCTAAGAAAATTAACTTCTTCCTCCACAATAAGGAAAACAAAACAGGGAAGACTAAAATATTATGAGGAATATACACAAATTGATTACAGTAATAACATTTTTAAATGCTGAAATAATAAATCAACAACTATAAAATAACTTGGAATAGCTGCAAAGCTAACTAAATGTAATAAAAAAGTTAGATAAATATAATAAAAACAGCTTTAAAATCTTTTTGTTGTTGTTGTTTTTGTTTCTGCTTTTCCTGTAAGATTGTACTGGAATTTTTTTTCACACTTTGGGAAAATTAAGTATTTACTGACTAAGTATTCATCACAAGGAAATACAAACTCACTTCCTAGAAATACCCAGAGGGGATACATTAATAACAGAACAGCAAGAGAATACATGTTCCAGAAGGAAGCGATTAAAACTGTTCTTCCTGGAACAAGATGAATGCTTTCATAAAACTTCTGTTACTAAGTTCAAAGGAAAGCACATTAAAAAAGAAAAAAAGAAGGAAGGAAGTAAAAAAGTAAGAAAGAAAGGAAGGAAAGTCAGTGCATTCAATTCAAACATTTTTAAAGCATATAAATTATGTTTTCATAGTCAATACTCATAATTTCTTCCACACATAATCTCTTTTCATGAATTTAACTGCCACATTTAATATATTTTAAAGGGCAGTTTTTATTTTGTGTATCATGTTAATGATTATATTTATAGAGCATTTTATAATACTATGGAATGAAGGTATGTTTGAAGTATTTGAAGTATTTTGAAGTTTTGAGAACCTAAATTTTACTTGCTTTTTTTGGAAATCTATTGAAAAAATGCAGATAAAACCTCAGTTATCTTAGCTACAAGTTGTCTTTTCGGAAACAAATGCATATTTAACTTAAAGGGAAAAAAAATAAAGCAAGTCAGCATTTCACTACTCACAGTGTAGATGGAGGTACCAGTCTTTCCCAGAATGCCTTCGATTCCAAATGGCTGAGCCCACAGAACAGATAAGAGACATGGCAATTAAGATGCAAAATAAAATCAGAATTTGTACATTTGTAATCCGTTCCACATTGGAGAGTTTAAGTGGTGGACTGGTGGAATTCTGTAAAACAAAACAAACAAATGGTAAAAACTGCACAATTTAGCATTGCTTACTTAGTATTTGAAAAGGGTGACACAGTCACAACCAGTTTTTGGACTTGAGCTGGAAACTGTCCCAAACACATGACAAGTATAATAAGGTGCCCATGGCTGCCACCTCTTTTTCTTATGACCACTACACCATGTACACATTTTTTCTGGGTCGTAAAATAATGAGAGAAAGAGGGGACAATCTTCATTCTGCAGATTGTCAGGCAGGTTAAGATGTATTTGACTACTTAAGCAAATAATGTCTTTCTACAGTGTCTACTAGTGCCTTTGGCTAGAAAAGAGGCAGGGGAAAAGGACCAAGGCCTTGCAAACACTGAAGGGACCAGCCCCCTGCTTTAGTAGCCATGACAGGCTGCAGAAAAGACATGTAGGCCTCTGACTCAGCATGTGTCTGACCTTGCTAGGCTGGCTCAAGTCACTAAGAGGTCAGATACCCTCCTGGATGCTGGATGTGCTTTATGGCTCTGGGCATGCTTTATGGTAAAAGTGGTACAACAGTGCTATGCAGAGCATAGCAACCACCCTGCGAGGGCCAAAAGGCCTTAACAACCAGCTGACCAATCAACACAGGACAGGTCATCCAAGACTGGAAGTGTACCAATCCTGAGACTGTTGCAGACCCCTAGACACTCCCTTACTCTACCCAATAAATTGCCTGCCTCATGGATTCTCCAGGTCCTTCTTTAGTCATCTGCTGCAATGAATGGACAAAGGGGCTGAGTTAATGGGGTTAGCTCATTAAACGATAAAAGACTCTTTGCTTTTGCATCGGAACGGGTCCATTGGTGATTTGGGGGGTTCAGAATTTGGGCACAATAACACCTCAGCATCTAAAGGATCTCTGGTGCTACTCAGCAGAAATTGAAGTCCTACCACATATAGTCAGTAGTAGATAACTGGGTACAGCAGCAGGCTGGCTTAGGAGGCAGAGGAAGGAGTCCGGGAAGCAAGCCTGACCTACATGCAGCAGAGGACAAGGGAGGCTTCTCAGCTATATGTGATGATTCAGTAGTTAAGGCAGATCTGTGTTAACCAAGCATCCTCAGGACAAGAAAGGAAATCCCTCATAACCAATTTAAATGACAGAATTTACAGCACTGCCAGGGTAGGTACACTACCAACCATCTCACTGGTAATGACAGCATCTTCACACCTGTAAGATGTACAGGGACTCTGGTCCTAAGAATAGAACTCCAATTAGTATTTCTGATACTTGTCTCAGTACTGAATTCAGGTTGTATTATAATGTACAGATGTAGCTCCCATGGGTGTATAGAAACTTCAGGATAGTAGATGGCAAAAACAGCCTTGTATAGAAATGCTATGAAAAAAATGGCTATTTGTATTTTTCTTTAAATTTTATGAAAAATCTCCAAGTTTAAAATTTGATTGTTGCATTATAATAAAATCATGATACAGATATTTTAATGCAGACACTGTTACACAGGCAACTTGAAGTGACCACTAGTTGGAAAATGTCCTTAGATCACACACCACCATTCATTGGGTATCAGGTGACCTTTGGGGAAGTTTCTCAGTGTTCACATGTGCAGCGATTGCTTCTCACAGGGAAGGAATTTCAAGATGTTATTCTCCTAGTTACAAATATGGGTGTGTGGTGTAAGGGTAAGGAATATCCAATGGCTGATCTGCTGTTTGGTCCAAGTGCACCAAGAGCAATGAATCATGCATTTCCAAAAGACTTAGTCTCAAAAAGATAAAAGTCCCACCTGCATCAGCTTGGTGTCATGTCCAGTGTAGACAACTATCCCATGAACCCACTGAGTATTTCTTAACTGAGCACCACGTAGAAGAATCTGGTCTGCTCCCAGGGGAACAGTGCTATGACAAAGTATATCAGCATTAGAATTGACATTGTCCTAAATGATCAGGAAATGCACAGTCATTACACAGCCATCCAAGTCTTCACAATTAAAACTTTATTTTTGGAAAGGAAGTATTTTTTTTACCAACAATGATAATTTTCAAATATAACTATTGGGAAGAAATGGGTTTTGCCCTTAACACCATACTAGTCATTTCCTATAGCTTTCCTCTCCCTGGGGCCTACAAGTATCCCCCAAATATTCCAAAGTTGAAGTTCCAACCCCCAACTGTGATGGCATTTGTAGCCACACCTTTACCAGGCTATTAGTTTTAGGTGAGTTCATGAAGGTAAAGCCCTCTGATGTGATTAGTGCCCTGACAATATACCTGAGAGCTGGCTCTGCCATATAAACATACACAGAGAGGACATGATTTTGCCAAATACAAAGGTGGCCTTCATCAGAGCCCAGTCATGTTCCTTTATTTCCATTCTCCAGATGGCAAGAAAAAAACAAATCTGTAATGATAAAACTAACTATCCAAGTTCTATCATCATGACAGTTACGCAAGCCAATATACTACCTCAAATAGCAAGCAATGTTTGGGAATGCAGTAGCCAATCTCACATATGATTACTACTGACTTAATAAGTTGACTTAAGTTTACACAACGTTTGGAAGTGGTGGGGCTAAAATAATCTGTTCCCTACCCTCTCAATAAACACACACACACACACACACACACACACACACACACACTTTAAATGACAAACTTTGTACACAATCAGGGCTCAAAATCTATACAAGGTAAAATAAACCCATAGCTCACTCCATATTCTGATACTACCATCCCCTTTCTGAAATAAGTGCCTAGACTTAAAGCCTTACAGTATTCATTTTACAGGATTAGTGTCTGTTTTTCAAGAATTGCAAACATATTCCCAATACACGGTAATCATTTGGAAGCAATTTGCTTCCTAGCCTTTAAAGCACATTTCCACAAACAAGGTCAGGTTGGGACTTTTGTGCATGTCCTCCTCCAACAGGGACTCAAGAGTACTATGGCACTATCACAGATGTGTACTGAGTCAGTTGATGGAAATAGAAGATCCAAAACCAAATTGCTCAAAGATTCCTAATAACCAAGGTTTTCATTTAACAAGAAAGTAATGTAAAAAAAAGAAAAAAGAAAGTCCAAAACAAAGAAAAATATACTTAAAACTTGTAGGAAAAGAAGGAAATCTTTTTCAATGGAAGTCTATAAAAAGTACAGGCCTTGTCAATCAGTAAAGGCCACTGAGCTGGGAAACCTCCATTTCTGGTGGGATCAGTCAGTTTCTAAGGCTTGAGATAGATTGGGCATTGGACCTCCTTTGGAAATATATTCTCCTGGCTCAGTGAAATCAATCCACATGTGTGGGTTAGAATGGCCCCTGCAGGAGTCCTCAGGAAACAGCGGATTTCAACTCCCATCATTTACATCCAACATCAGTCCTTAGGGCCCACTGGGATGGAAATGAAGTTTAGACCATTTTGTGAAAGCTTATGAAATGCCTGAGAACTGGTTATTTTGTATGAAAAAGAGGTTTATTTTTGAGTCAATTTGTAGTCATTACATTGGGGGTTGAGTTTCCAGTATGTGAAACCTCCAGGGGACAAAACCATATTGAAGCCACAGACCTCTCTTGTATATATGTCAATATCTGGGGGCCTTGAGGCTAAAGCAGGCTCCACAAAGTAGTTGAGAAGTTGCTGGATTTTGCTTTAGGGCACATGTGTATTTAGGGCACTTTAGGGCACTTTTCCTCACCTCACCTATCTGACTGGGCTCAGTAGCACATCTGACACACATTTATTGCTCCCCACTATCTCCCATCCCTTGCCTTGGAGTACCTGCCTCACTCATTCACTTCAGCCTTTCTGATGAAATTAAGCATATTATAAAACTCCAGTTTCTTTAATCTTGGCACCATCATCTAAAGTTTTCTTCGTGGAATGGATTTGCTTGGCATCAATTTAAAGAAATGTTGGTAAGGAATGGAAGCTGGCCAGTTAAAAATGTCAGATTTAAGAAATGATACTTGTACAAATGGCCAAATCTATCTGTAGTCTATAACCATATGTTCAAGGGAAGATTACTTTGAAAATTTTAGAATTAACAATTACCTTAAAGAACATAAGAAAGTTTTGGTGGATTAGATAAGGGTGTCAATCCATGTCATTTACTTAGTTCCTTATTTAATTCTTGGATCATTCATATCCCAATAGTGAGAACATGGACAACATTCCCCTAGGCTGGTTGAACCAGTATATCTATCTGATGCTTACCTGGCCACCAAACCTATCTGGTAGACAAGGTCTATTGTGTAGAGGAGGTAGGACAAGAAGGGAAGGGATGAAGACAGGAAACAGAAGTGGGGCAGAAAACACCCCGCCCTTCTTGCTGGATTCTACCTTAATTCTTTGCCTTGCATTGCAATAAAACTCCTTCTCTATGATGTCAGGCTCTCCCTCATCAGGCTTAACCTGCTCTAATTAAGGGCCATGATCTTCACTCAATAAATCCAAATGTTAATGTTCAGCTACATTGCAGTTGGTCATAAATGACAGCTGACTCAACTTTGTTCCTCCCTCTCTACTTGGAAGTTTCTTTACTCTTTCTTGATTTTCATTTCACAGACTTGGTCTCTAGTCTCTGCTCTTCTCAGACTTCCAATGCTAGACAGTCCTTGGGTCTTTTAATTTTTCTGTCTATACTCTTTCAATTTCAATGATTTTTCCAGCCCCAGTGAGTTTAAATTTCTATGTGAACTACTCTTAAAGTTTGGACATATAGTCAAATGTTGCTTGGACACCATAAACTTATTAGGTCCAAACCTAAATAGATGATGTTTCTCCTTCATAACTTATTCATGGATCTCAAGTTTGTTAAGAACACCTTTTAATGGTCCACAAAGCCGGATGTGGTCTGGCCCATTATTATCTTTTGGCTTTCACCTCAATTTCTCTTCCTCCAATCACAGCGATTTGCACCATTTCTTCTGTCCAGAATCCTCTACTTCCAGATATTCAAGTGGCTAAACTCCTAACCTCCTGATAACCGTTGTTCAAATGTCACCTAAAGGAGGCTGACTTCAATCACCCTGAGGGATTTCTTCCTAAGGAAATTTCCTTATCTAAGAGATTTCTTCATCTCTTGCCCTATGCTATAAGATTTTTTTATTTATGCCTTTATTTCTGCCCTTCATATATTTACCAAAAGAAAGTAAGTTCACAAAAATCCTATAGTAAAATATTTACATACTGATATCTAACCTTTAATATTGGGGTACTTAGGATGTTGATTCCTTGGGAAGGAGGTGGTTAACTCTTGAAATTTCTAGACTAATGGGGCTGGAGAGATGGCCCAGTGAGTAAACTGCTTACTGTGCAAACATGAAGACCTAGTTGGATTCTCAGAATTCATAATGATTATGATGATGATGATGATGCTAGGTATTAGTGTACGCTTATAATTCCAGCACAGAGAATGGGGAGATAGGAACATCCCTGAGGCTTTTCTCCAGCCATTCAGCCAGTTGGTGAGCTAACACTAGTGCAAGATTCTGTATCAGAAGACAAAGTGCCTGGCTCCTGAGGAACAACACCTGCAGTTGATCTGTGGTCTCTATAGGCACACTTTTTACACACATGTGCAACACACACACACACACACACACACACAAAACACATGAGTTCTCTCTTGTGTTTGGGACTGAAACCTTGAAAAAGATGCCTGAGGGCCTCTACAGTTCTGCTCTTGTGTTTGGGACTGAAACCTTGAAAAAGATGCCTGAGGGCCTCTACTATGCAAGGACACAGGATGCAACATTTCCTTACCAGACACCAAATTTGGGGCTTTGATCTTCTAGACCTGGGAGCAGTGGATTTCTGCTGCTCATACATTTTTGAATTTAAGGTATTTTTGTTAGAATGAATGAATGAATGAATGAATAAAAAACAAAGGCAGTGATGTTTATCTTATTTGCTTATTGTGGACTATGTAATATTATAAATGGTCTGGGCTATCAGGTATGTACTAAAATCTAATTGAACGGGTAAGAGAAGTGATAAGAAAGTGATACGAAAGATGGGAAACAGGTAATAATAATAGCGACTACAGATGACAGAATGGTCTAGAAAAAACATATAGAATTATACAATAGAGTTAGACAGAAGAGACAAAAAAAAATAACTGGCTGTAGGTAAGAGAAGTGATAAGAAAGTGATAGGAAAGATGGGAAACAGGTAACAATAATAGCGACTACAGATGATAGAATGGTCTAGAAAAAAAGATATATAATTATACAATAGAGTTAGACAGAAGAGACAAAAAAAAATAACTGGCTGTTGTGGTACAGTCTGAACTCCTTGAGACATCCCAAGTTCATAGGAATGGACCATGGCCATTGGAAAGGCCAAGGCAAGAATCTCAGCCAAAGAACCAGCCACAGGCTATTTAACCACCAAAGAATATTCCAGAATTCTGAAATATCACTGACAACATCTGACTGCCAGTCCATCAGGAACTTGAGAATGTCTTTGATTATCACATGGGAAGAGTCAGGATTTAGCCTCCTTACAGAAACATATGAGTTGGAAAACAGACAAGCTTAAAACAAAAGTTGCCAGTGAGCATTCACTCTTAGAGCAGAGGAAAACCATTTGGGGGTCAGGATGACTCAGTTAAAGTGAGTTTACTTACCCATGTCCATCAAGTCTTATATTCCCAACAAAATCGTAGAGATGTCGATTTGGGCTTTCACACTCAATTCTGCCAGAAATTCTCATCAAACTGTCAATGTCCTTGATATCCGACGTTGCTGGTAAGCCCTGTTGGAATATTTCCAAATAAACAGAGAGTATTTTTAAATTAGCATCGTGAGGGTGGGACACTCTCCATGGTCTTACAGACAAGGAATCACACTATTTTGCAAGTAATTCCCTTCTTTTATTTGATACTGTCATGATGGGGGATGCCTTTCTGTATCTGTGAATAGATGTTTCTCTTATTGGTTAATGAATAAAGCTGTTTCAGCCAATGGACAGGCAGGCTTTAGCCAGGCAGGAAGTATTGCAGGGCTACCAGACTAGGAGAATTCTGGGAAGAGGAATGCAGATTGTGAGTTGCAGAGGAGACACCATGTAGCCACTGAAGGAGTAACAGGAGGAGCATTATGGGCGGGACAGAAACTATATCTACGCTGTCAAACCATACAGTAGAGGTATGTTCCTATCAACGAGAGCATGGAGTTTCAGTACAAAATAATATACTTTTATGAAAGCTCTGAAAACAGTATCTGCTGCTGTACAGTCTAGGAATCCTGAGTCTAATGAAGGGGATGAAACACAGGCAGAGTCTCATTCAAGGAAAGCAGTTTGGCTGCCCTTCCTCATTCTTTCCTTCCCTCCCTCCCTCCCTCCTTGACAGGGAGAACTTCCAAGCAGTTCTTCACTCAGCTAGAAGGGACAGGCACTGAGAACATCCATATTAGCCATCTGACTTCAGTTCCCTCAAGATGTCCAGTTCTAACATAGTCCAAACACCCCACAGGCATTGTTGTCATTCAGCAAGAAGCCAGTGTTATGTATTTTAACTCTGCCCCCTTAAAACTTTAAAAACAAAATCTTACAGTTGTTTTGGGCAACTTTTCATAGTATGAAGAGCAAATATAGAAATATAAAGTAAATCAAATCCCCAAGATAAATATGTGTCTGAAGAACAATGAAAAATTTGGCTTTTAAGCATGGCAAACCCAGTATTAACTGGGGCTAAGAAAAACAAAATAACATGCCAAAGAATTTAAAACACCTTTAATCCCAGTACTCAGAGACAGGTGGATCTCTGTGAGTTTGAGTCCAGTCTGGTCTGTATAGTGAGTGCAAGCCAAACAGGGCACATTTATACACACACACACACACACACACACACACACACACACGGGCATGCACATGCATTAAGAACTACTACTACTATTATTATTATCATTCAAGCATTGACTATTATATAAAGTAGTTAAAAGTATTATAAATAATATTTCATGATTGGTCATATTTAACCGGTAAAGTAAATCTGAGTCCCAAAATAATTAATTCTATCAGTTTATGAAACATTTTTCACAATGGTTTGGTTCAAAGAGAAAATAGCTGTGATTAGACAGAATCACTTTTAGACAGATAGACATTCTTAAATACATATCATAAAGCACTGACTATGAGCTGAGAGTAGAACTTACTTGTCTAATTTTCAAGTTTGTTTCACCATCTAAGTTGGATGTCTCGATGTAGCACATGGCCTGGGGCTCACTGTTATTCATAATTGAAAAACACAAAGATTTAGTTGGGAAAGGAAAGGGAGATACTAACTGCAATATATGTAAGAGCTCAGATTCACCAAAGCCATTTGTTCTAGACAAAGCTACAGTCACCTAGCTTCTGGATGATTTTCATTCTAACAGCAAGACGGTGTGAGGCAGAACCACTCATCATGCATGACACTCATGGATCAGCCTTCCAGCCAGGAGAACCCCAAAGCCATTTCCTGACAACACTCAGTGATGGTTTTCAGGATAACATAACGAGGAGCCACACTGTTTTTAAAGTGCTTGCTTATCCATATAGACACAACACAGACCAATTTTCAAGTGTAAAGCAGGTTTGTGTCCAGATTTATCTCCAGCTCAGAATGTCCAGTCAGGCTTCATGCTCATGGTCCACATGTAAATTGGTTAGGCAAAATGGTTGATTAAAAACTTCCAGATTGTTCCTTCTATAGGCTTGTACTAACTACTTTAATCTTTCAGCTGTGATGACAAGATCACATAGATCACATACTATTAAAAACTTAAGGCTACTTTTACTGGGTATATTTTACAATGAAAGTGACACTATATTTATATCCTTTTGGTCTATTAAGTGGCGAACGCCTTTAATCCCAGCACTCGGGAGGCAGAGGCAGGTGGATCTCTGTGAGTTCGAGGCCAGCCTGGTCTCCAGAGCGAGTACCAGGATAGGCTCCAAAGCTACACAGAGAAACCCTGTTTCAAAAAACCAAAAAAAAAAAAAAAAACTTGTTTGAAAAGTCTCTCTCTCTCTCTCTCTCTCTCTCTCTCTCTCTCTCTCTGTGTGTGTGTGTGTGTGTGTGTATTCCTGTGTGGTCAAGGACATATGTGTGTAGGAGGACACACATGCACATGTGTGGAGGTCAGAGTACAAGCTCAGTTATCAGTATATAGGTGCTGTCCATGTGCTTTTGAGACAAGGTCTCTCACTGGCCTCGAACTTGCTGAGTAGACTCACTGGTCAATGAGCTCAAGGGAGCTGCATGTGTCTGCCTCCTTGGCAGTTGGCATACAAGTGTTCCATCACACCTGGGCTTTTTCATGCAGGTTCTCATGGACTGAATTCAGGTCCTCACACTTCCAAGCAAGCTCTTTACAACTGGTCTATCAACCCAGCCTGACTGGGATGTTTGAAGCAGAAAAACACTAAAGCTAAAGTTAGTCTACCTGGCTGTATTGCTTCATGCCCTGAAGCCATCACACCTGAGTGTTTTAAATGAATTCTGTATGTGGTGACCTGAGGACTGTGTTCTCCAGTTTTATCATAGCATCTTACTTTATTTGTTTGACTGCTACAGATATGTGAGTGTGGCTGGACTATAAATTTAATTCTCAACTCTATAGAAGAACATTCTGAATATAAACCAAAAAGTATTGTTAAGTTAAACCAATCTCACTAACACTTGGCTATATAATAAGCCTAATGTGTTAGCTGAAAAATAACCATTAATATAAAAGAAACTTACAAGCCACAAATATTGGAATTTTTTAATCAACTTCCAATTTGTACATGTGCAAAACAAACTGCCCTAAGTGCTAGAAATGGGTACTTAGCTTAATTTTGCCACCCTGAAATTAAGAAAAGTTACTTAAAGACATAAACATAAATCAAATTTTACAGATTCATTTTAAAGTAACTTTGCACATTCTCCAATTTTTCCCTATGAGCTTTCTTTCATACAGGCTGCTGTTTTCCAGACAGAGAAATCTTTCCATATTTCTTTTTTTCACTTCTCAATTATTTCAAAAAATATTTTTAACTCGTGGTCACAATAGTTATTCTCACTCTGGCAACTGCCCAACTTTCTAATTTCCTCATATTCATTTGAAACATAAATGGTTTCCAAAACTGTAAAACACATTTCTCCGATAACAAAGAAAAATGGTGACAAACAAAACACTAAATGAGACCATCAATTCTTTTTCTAGGCAGTAAAACTCATTAAAATGTTACTAACAAATATACTTATCCAATCAAGTACACCCCAATTTGGAACATTCTTAATGATAATTTAGGACAGTTATGACTGCAGTAGCTCTACTAGGGCTGTGAAGAAGCGAAAGAGTCAGGAGGTCATGCTAGTTCATAAATACTTCAGCAAGTCACAGTAACATCCAAGACACAAACTATAGTCAGAGGCAAAGCAAGCATTTGGATTAGTAAGTGGGAAAACAAAACAAGATGCACACCACAGCACAGACACACAGGGGACAGCAGACATGGACCACAGCCATGTGCACTTGTTCACAAGTTACAGGTCGGGTAAAGACTGATCCCCAAGCATGCAGCACAAAAAAGGACGATATCCAGCCTTGTGCAGGGGTCCTCTATAAACCCTATACAAGCCCAAATTTTAGTCGCAGTCACTGCAGAAATTCCACAGAACGTGTAGAAAATTTGAAATACGAAAGTAAGAAAACATGCTTAAAATGTAACCCGTTTTCAATGACTGTTTCACGAAAAGCTTAACACCCTTCCAAACAATAAGCTGGGAGTTAACAGCTAAAGCCTTAGTTGAGGCATATTGTTAAAACATATGTGGCTAGTGCACAGGAAATGAGAATCGTTTGGACTCCTATTGATAGTAATAGGAGTTCAGTCTTCCCAGCTGAGGGACAGACAGCGTCCAGCACAGTGTTCATAAAGTGCCTTTAAAATATCTCTGATGCGCGCCGTCTAGGAAGACACACGCATGCGCTTTAAAGGAAGAGATGGAGCTGAACCGCATTTGGGTGCCATTGTTCTTTGGTTTAAGGTGAGGACCCACGTACACACGCCCTGTAAAACCCTGTGGTTCTGACCTTGAGGACACACTGATGAGATCTGCTGGGAGGTGTTCCCCATTGGTCACTCTCACTATTTCCCCCACTGCCACCTATACGTCCCAGTTTAAAATAATTAAAATGGGAGGGGGGAAACAAATAACAGAGAAAATAAAAAAAAACAAACAAATGGACAAAAGAGACAGAAGGTTTGAAATTATTATAGAAAAGATTTCATGTTAATAAAAATGTCTAATGCCGATTTTTCAAAACTTATTTTGATCAGGCCTGAAGGGAAATGACAATATGTAATATTCAAAGGAATTTGGGGAATTTTTTAGCCCAAGTTTCAATTTCTAATATGAAAACTTAATATTTTAATGCTTACATGTAAGTATTTCTTATCAAAGTAAATAAAAACATTTTATAGTTATATTACAGATTTCCTTTTTCAAAACTCCATTTGCTGTCAAGTCTATGTCTACTCCTATCAAGTAAGTAAAGAAATGACTTTAAAATTATATATTAGATATTTGCAAAACAAGTATACTACAGTAAGCCCCCTCTCTCACACACTACAAAAGTAACTCTGTTCTGATTTCAAAATTTTTCAAAGTTGACTGCATCCCTATCATATTTATCTGGAAAGCTGCACAGATGTGTATCTTAGGCACTTAGGGGTCATGACTGCACTTTAATGGAAAGCTGCACAGATGTGTATCTTAGGCACTTAGGGGTCATGACTGCATCATTTGGAGTTATTTAATAATTAATAAAGTATAAGAAACACATTGTGTTTTAGAGAGTATAGGGGGGTAAGCCTTTGCATCCAGAGAAAAGTCTTCAGGAGGGTATGAAAAAGTCAGACCAAGTATCTGCCTGGACTTGAATTAAAGGAAGCGTTGGTTGCTCTATTTTTTGTTTTTGCACAGAAAGGTATTAGTGGCTACATGTTAATATTTCGGTTTGTTTGTTTCTAATTGTAAGTCAGTGAATTCCAGAACTTTCAATGCTAGTCTTATTTAATTCCAAGCTACCTCGAGCTCACCTGTGAACTTGCTCTCACCTAGCTATGCCAAGCCAATAAGCAACGAGTTCCATTTTAGATACACTCCCTGACAAAATTACAAACAAAAGTAACTTGAGAACAGAAAGTCTGACTTCAAAAGACCTTTGTGCTACACAAAGATGTCAGCTTTAAAACAGGAAAATAAAAACACCCTGAATTCCTGTTTCTATAAATAGCCAAGGAACTACTAGTTTCCTATTTATGATTCACTAACTTGTCAAAAATCCAATCATTCCAAACCATGACCTGATTAAATAGATTTTGAAAAAAGGACACTGTCCATATTTTTATGTGGATTTTACAAATCGAACTGTCCAAGGAAATGATGATAAACAACCTCAAGAATATTAAAAGACATTTCTTCTTAATTTATTTTAGGACTAGTTTTAAGGTTTTAAAATCCTAAATTTACACAAGGCCTAGTGTGATAGCTTTTAATTCTAAAGACATATGTCCTGAATACTGATTCACAACTATCTTAAATGTGAATACAACAAAAAAATTATCTAAATTCAGTAACAGGAAAATCTGAAAAGAAAGCATAAAGTACTCATTTCTTGCTTGAAAAACTGTATCATTTAGAAACAAAGAAATCACTCATCCATATTCTTGTAGCATTTCACCATAACGAATAGAAAGTTTGCAAGAGAGAGGATTATTGCACCATAAAGGAATTTATGAATGAGGACTGAAAGAGAAAAATCAACAGAGCCCAATCCATGGATGACAGAAAGCAAACGACAGGGAATCTTAAACAGAGCTAGTGGTCCACACACACCACAAGGATGTGGATGTAGCCAGTGGAAAAAGAGACTCTCAAGTTTTGGCTGTGTAGTAGCCGATACTTAATCTGTATGACAAACATGAAGCCAATCAGTTTTTTTAAACACTTCATTAAAAATCATGAGAGGTTTGAAATTCTTCGTTTATTCTTTATTTCCTTGGAGAAATTACAAGGTCAATGCAGGGTAGAGAACCCATCCTCTACACTGTTTGAGCATCAGTAGGTGTCTCTACCTTGATGAGAGAAGGACAGTGTCAGCAGGTATATACTCTTTGCCTTTTATTATAACTATATCTCCAACATTTACCTGAAAGAAAACTGGGAATTGGTTAATTATCTGCATAGAAAGATAGTAAAAATAAAAATACAACCCACTGTATTGATAATGCATGAATAAAAAAAAACATTCTAATCTTCACAAAAATGGCATAAAATTATTTAGGGGTTAATGCATATTTGTTTTTAATCTGTCATTTATCTTAATAAAATTTCTTGACCAATTATGCCCACTTGACTGACATCTCAACTTCTTAAATGCTCTCTCTTTGACATAAAAATAAGAAGGAGGAATCTGCTGGCTAAAATCTCTACTCTACTTAAGGAAGTCTCAGTACAATTGAAGAAATGGTCATTATTTGTGATGACCATTATACAATGACCCTTACGAAAAAAATAGTGACTTTAATTTACAGAGAGGAAGAGAACATCTAATATTCCAAGTTTCCGAGTCACATGTTCAGAGTGAGTGGAAAAGCTGAGACTCCAATCCACATCTACCTATCACATTGCCCAAGTTTTGCATGCTATGCGACTACCATTATAATTCAAACAAAATAAACAGCCAAGTTTATTTTTTTATTATACATTTGCCCTCCCTGACTATGGTATGAAAATGAGTTAAAGCTCTGTTGTGGCCAGAAACTATTAGAAGTAATTTGTCACTGTTCTTACTGCTTTTGTCAAACAATGAATGCATCTCCCACTCAGCAACAACCTGGCTCTGCTCCCTTAGTGAGAATCACTGCCGATGGGGTCATTGTGTTCTGTTTTTAGCTACAGGGAAAAATAGGTGAGGGAAAGCTGGAGAGGCATCTTATAATCTATAGTATATACATTAGTTGCTCAAGTAGGAAGGTGCTGGACAGCATGCTCAAAAACAAACAAACAAACAAACAAAAACCTTGCTAAAAGTGCCAAAATAGCAAGGATGCTGGAATTATGCTAGAATTAAAAAACAAAACAAAACAAAAACTGGTAAGCATAAATACATACTATCCCTTAAAAATGTGCATTGACAGTTAACTAGCAGAACCAAAGACAAGAAGATTATGAAAGACAAGTGCTCTGCAATCAAGGCAGCTAGACGGAATGCCACCCTGATTACTATTTAATCATTTGTTAATCACCCTCTATGTTTTGTTAATGCTTTCCCTCCATTAAACTACATGCTTCATAAAACCATGGCTGCATTATCTCCAAGAGTTAGGTTGAAACGTCTAACTTATGAAAATTCCTAAGTGATGGCAGTGTTTCCAACTTCTGCATTCATTGCAAGACAACTGAAGGCCTTGGGGTTATTAAGTTGAAGAAAATATAACAGGGTGCACTGTGGTGTCTCTAGCAGCCTGGTAAATCCAAGACCTTATTCATTGCCCCAGGAGTTCTCATGACTTGAGGAAAACAGGGAACTCCCTTACTTGCCTATGTTTTAGGTCAGTTTCTCAATGATACTCAAGTAGCCTTCTCTCCCTCCGGTTCTGGCCTCTTATCATGGCATTTTTCATTCTAGTATAAGAGAATCAAAAACAAGGGGAGGCCATGGTGGAAGACAGTCTTTGACCACAACCCAACTAGAGAACATTAAGGAAATATTCAGGGCTCTCCACTAATTTGAACTTCCTCAAGTCACTGACAGGGATCAAGGATTATAGAAAGGGGATAAAAATTATCAAACTATAAAGGGCTTGATTAACAAACTATTTCTAATTCTAGGTAACAATATATGTGCATTTTTATCCAAGAATTTTGGAAGATATGGATTTCATCCAAAGAAATCTATCTCGTGGTGGGAATGTATGCATTAAACAGTTTTGCTGAATGACTTTCAGAGACCCATACAGCTCACTATGCTATGCTTCCCAACAAAGCACCTACGCATTGGTTTAAAGAATATTCACCTAAATTCTCTACTTGTACCTGTCTCAAAAACCTGAGCAGTAAACTCTGCCTGGCAAAGTGAAGAACTGGCCTTGGTGCTGTGGTGAGAGCAATAGGCCAGACACTTATGTTTCAAGAGATGCAGCTTCTTGGGGGTGGGGTCGGGGAATTTTGTCATTGCAAAACTTTGTTTTAAAATGAGATTCTTAAAACCTCACCTCTGTAACAGAGAAACCTCTTCCCTACAATCTGGAGGGCTGGGGTGTAAACATCCAAGAACTGCTGGTGTTCTGTGATGACTAAATGTATGGCGACAAATCTATAGGACCTCTGAGGACCATTAAAAGCACCCACATGCTTATAGTGAAAATACCTGGAAGCAAAGTCCATTTGCATGAGGGTTCTCATGTTACTTCAACATGTGGATGACATTATTGGTTTGGGTATATTGAGTTTATTTTTCACTCTACAAAGTATCACGCGAACCAAGGACAAGACCTGAACTAATGGCCAAGCCAAAAGGGAAGTCTGCTTTTGTGTTTGATACTTGCTCAATAACATCATTTTTTTTACATGGCTGAAAGCTCAGTACCGACAGGTCTATTCTTTTCACCTGTGATTATATTTTATGATCTAGGAGCCACTACATGTTCTGTTATGGCTATGAGCTCACTCACTGCTTGGCACATACATTTAATAAATATTTACTGGATGAGGGTATAACATTTTCTATGTCATCATAGTATGTAAAATTAGTATGTAAAATTAAAGTTTTACATCATACAGGTGCAGGATGTTGCAACTTACTAGTCTTTTCTCTATTGCATGTTTATACTAGTTTTAAATATTATGAAAACGCTTTTGCATATGTAAACTTCCTCCCATTTCATGATTATTTACAGAGACAGACTATAAATTATCAGGATCTCTTCTATATGGTTTTCATCATAAACAGCCAAACTACTAGTCTACAATGGAATATTAGTGCAATGTAAAATAAAATTTTTGGAATGCAAGTTTCTCATGATTGAGTCATCAATTTCTTTTTTGTTTTCAACTTTTGTTAGTTGGCCACCATACCAAATCTAGTTAATATTTCTTCTTGCTTATTATAGACTTTGATTTTTCAGCTTAAAGAATAATGACACAAATCTTTTGTTGTATTTGGTGCAAATATTTAATATATTCCCCAGTTATCTGTGGCATCTTTTGTTATATGTAGGTTTAAACTCATGTCATCATGATCATGAGATATTGATCTTCCCAAAATTCTTATTAAAAATCTTTGTTCTATTAGTGTGTATTTCAAAACAGCATTTTAAGCATTTGATTCTTTTAGCCAGATGGAATTTAATTTTGCACAAATCATGATTTAGATATAAAGTAATATTCAAGTATTATTTCTTGAGCCTGCCAATCTGCAATTTTTGCCTCACTTATCAATAATTGAACATGCCTCATTTCAGGACACTATATTCTTTTCTATTTTATTTGTTAATATCTATTTTTGAAACAGACATTGAAGGTAAGTGATAATTCTTTGAGATTATGTTATTAATAATTTGAAATAAGTGATCTCTTGTTTTTAATTTTGAAAGAACATACATTTGTGCTTTTATATGATTCTTTTTGGGGGGTGAGGAAGAAAGCAACTTTTCTTTAGATGTTAAAGAGTCACATAGGCGAGGCTGGTGTGACAGCAGTTGTCTATGATCTCAGCGCTCAAGAAGCCGAGTCAGGAAGATTGCCTCCGTTGAAGGTCAGTTGCTTTCTTGCCCCATGTCACATAGATTTTGTCTGCAAGTATCCCACATATCAGTTGGATTGACATCTCCTTTTCCTAATAATACTGTAAATATCAAAATATTGTTAGTTTTGTATGTTTATCTTGAATTCATCCCTGAACCAACTTGGGGAATGTAATTATCTAGTTATAACTACTAAATAACTTCAGATCTTTTTAGCTGGGTGGCTCTTGGGTAACAATCTAGATTCTATCTTTTCACAGAATAATATGGAATATGCAGGTAAAGTTTGGCCCTGACCTCAAGAATGACTAACAATGCTATCATTATGAGTAATCACAGTGATTTATTATCGTCTTTATTTATTAAAAAAATTTAAAAAATGATGTTTACAATAATCCATGTAGACTAGCATAACCTCAAAATCACGGTTGTCATTAGGAACATTTGAAGGTCAATTTTACAATGCAGCAGAAGAGAGTTATTGCCTGACTGTGTATTCCCTGAGCCAAGAAGTCAAGGCAAGAAGAAGAAGGAGAAAAAAAAACTGATACAGGAATTTTAAAAAATGTGCTGTTCAAGTTAGACACTTTTTTCACATGACTTTAAGACTTAGCTAAAATAGACATAGGATGTATCATAGCGGATTATTGTATATTCTTGTATTCCACCCTTATGATTGTTAGTTTTGGATATTTTACACTATTAAGTTTTAATCCTCTCTTAGACTAAAAGGGGAATTGTAGGGAGTCACCCTAGCCCCGCCCAATAGTCCTGGGGCAGGTACCAGGTGGACCTGGGGACTCGCCCATAAGGGCGGGGTGAAGGAAAGCCGGGATGACGTAAAGGGGGCTTCTTAAAGGACTGCACGTGGGGACGGGGCTCTCTTTGTTCTGACCGCGCTGGCTGGGTTCTTAACCTAGCTCTGGCCTGTGTTTCACCCGGCTGTGCTTGGAAATAAAGAGACCTTAATCCAATAATGTGCCTTTCTGTTAACTGTGCTGATAACCCTAGTAATGTAATGTACCCAAACTCAATCCATTGAATCTGACTATACTCCCTCTGTCTTCTCTATGAAATGTCTAAATCCACAAGTACCAGCTGAGCCCATAACACAAGTGATTCCTGGACGTTTTCAGCTGTCTCATTTTTCTCCTTTATTCTTCTGAAACAGAGCTTATTACCATAGAAATTCAACACCACGAAGGTATTTTCGTCCTTATTACTTTAATGTCAAAGACCAGAAAGCAGGGAGATATGAATTTCCATGTCTCTGCAAGAGATGTCATTTCCTAGTCTAGCCACTGATAAAAAAACAAACAAAACAAAACAAAACAAAATTAACAAAAATGGGATCAGTTTCTTATTGAGAAGAGACCCTATTCCTTCATGGACAGAAGGTGACCACAATTTCAGAAGGGAGAATCAAGTGTGTGGACTTTGATGGGGTGTAAATGAATGGGCGGTAGACAACAGTTTTGTTGTCTCAGTAAGACACTGTCCAGTGTTCATGGCAGTGGCCTCCAAAAAGCCATCTAATGAGTCACCAAGGCCATTTACTGTGGATGACTGGGGGAATCCAAGTTCTGGAACTAAGTAAGAACTGACAATCATCATTTGCTTACCTTTTGCAAATAAGGCCTAACAAGAATGGACACCTGGGTAACTCTTGCCAAATGATGATGACTCTACTCACTAAAGACTGAGACAGAGGCCAGCTAGCAGATCTCCCTCTGGAACACAGAACTGTCTCCTTCTTCATTAGAAAATGATGTTTAGTTTGTATGATTAACTTTTCTTAAAATAGTAGTAATAAGTAAATGGGGGTGGGTTCACCATAGGAATTTGAACTAAAACAAGCAAATGTGAAAAATCAGAACTTGAACAGATTTTTTTTTTTAATTTGGACAGTAGATGATTAAAACAAAATTTACAAAACAAAATAAATAAAATCTATGAAAAGAGTACTCAAAATGTACTATAAAACAAAAATGTTCTAGACAGTACTTTCCAAAAGAATGGCCTTGCTGGAAGAATACGAAAATGCTTAGTGCATGTAGCTATGTGGAGACTTTACAAATCTTTCTATTAACTACTAAACAGTGTCCACATTAGTGGAGCTGCTGACATTGCTCCTATAAATTACACCTCTGTGCATTCTGTGCATTTCTTCTGAAACAAAATGAAAATTAATGCATACCTTCTCCCAGTGAACAATTTCCCAAGCACCATTTCTCAGAACTGCAAAAAGAAAGGATGACAGGTTAAAGAACATTTCTTTATTTTAAAGGAATAGCTTTGAATGAAATAACTAGCAGCAGTATCATATCTTTTAAAACTAATTGTAGCAGCAAGGATCATACGAGGCAATAAAAACTTCCAATTTCTATTTAGTCTCCCACAGTGATTTGCCTCTAACTCAAGGTAGCTTTTTTTGGGTGTCCATATGCCTCCTCCAAGACACAGGGAAGCTCTGGGTTAAGTAGGGGTGAGGGTGGGGAGAAAAGCACAAAAGATCATATAAAAGGGAAATGACGGGCCTGCATCCATCTCCTAATGACAACCATTCTCCTCAGGTCATGATGGTCTATATGGGTTACTGTAACTACCCATTTTTAAACTTGGATAAAACAACACAGGGGCATCATAGATTTCTAATTAGTAAGACTTTAATACAAGGAAGCAACAGAAAAAAAACCCTGTATTATTAGATCCATAATAATGCAAAAACATTCCATGTTTGGCTTACTAGGAAGAAAGAGAAAAGGTATTCTGAAATTATGGAGAAGAGTGAACATTGCATAGTGGCTTTCTGTTTCAATGCATAGTACAGTTACTCAGTATCTCCAACCCCACCTACAATAGGTGTGGGATGTAACCCTGAGCACACTAAAGCATACCCAAAACTGAAAACAGTACAAGACAATAATGTGAGGTAGATAATAGAGTACCAAGGACTTAAAGAACAAGGTCCATTGATAAGTGACACAGACATTAAACCCTTGAGTGCAAAGCCAAGGTTTGCTTTAATTAGAAACAGCACAGTGCATACACAATGTGAAATTACAAAATAAGCAATTTATAGTTATATATACATACATATATATATATATATATCTATATATATATATATATATATATAATATTAAAGTCTCTTTATTCAAGAAGACACCAAGGCAAAATACAGGCCAGAGCTAGGTTATAGAACCCAACAAGCGCGGCCAGAACAAAAAGGGGGCCAGGGTCCCCACGTGCAGCCCCTTAATTATAAATAATAATTTATAATAATTTAAATTGAATATAAAAATTCAATTTCCTTTAATGTTAGAAGGGACAGAGTTGGAATCCTCTAGAAAAAGTCAGGGAAACAAGCCCAAAGCATTAAATAGAAAACCCAATATTAGTTCCACATCACGCTTTAAAACCAATATTGTAATACACATTATTTTAATCTAGATAAAATTCTTCTAATTCCCAGTTCTCTTGAAGCAGGGCTCTCGTGAAGGAGGGCTCACGTCTCACTTATTTCCTTATTTCTAATGTCCTGCACCACTTCCACCACCTACGACATTCTGATGCTGACAGAAAAACAAATGTAAGAATAAACACCTTGCAAGACATTCAGTGGGGTGATAACTTTATTAAATTCAAGTGGAAAGCTAAAACTAAAGCACGTCCAATACACTAGCCTAGTAACTATATGCAAGTTAAGATTCTTATTTTTATACTACTCAAACAGATATGGGCCAGCATCTGAACCATACGTGCCCAGAATTGTATCTAGTCTCTAAAACTCTAAGTCTAGCAGAGTACACCCAAACTGCTTCCACGAGGAAGGCTGCTCCTTGCCAATGTTCATACATTCCCAGGAGTCCAGAGGACATGCCTCACAGTAAAAGCCTGGGCTTAAGCTGTGTCTACAGATATTTCCTAGTGTCTTTATCAGAATGGTTTGTCACCATGAATCAAGATTAAAAGAGCAAACATGCTGCCCGTTGCTTATAACCTAGGAGCTAAAATATAAACAAGTATGCACAGCAAGTACTGCCCACATCAACTCTAACTAGATTAACTGAGACAATGTTTGGGACAAAAATACTTAAGATTTCTTTATTGAAATTTATTTCCTTCTGGGCCTATTTCTTATTAAGCATTTTTTTTTCAATTCCAGTATTTACCACCCACCTTTTATTGGCAAGTGTATGTATATGAATGTGTGTGCAACTAAGCATGTTTGTGTGTGTGTGTATGTGTGTGTGTGTGTGTATGTGTGTTTCTAGGAACCCTAATTCTGGTCTTTGTTCTTACAGTGCCTTCACCCACTGAGCCATCTTCTCAAGCCTCATTTTTTTTTCTTTTGTCATTGCTATTTATTTGTTTTTAAACCACTGTCTAATATTTCTAAAACAATGCAATCTGACATGAAAATAAAGGTGCCTGGCTGTACAGTATGAATTTTCTGAGGATCAACTGAACAGCATAGTAACTGTAGTTAACACGTGTTATACTTGAAAATTGATTAGAGGACAGATCTTAATAATCCCACCAAAGAAAATCATGTAAGGGTATGGACATGTTAATTAGGCTGATGCAGTTAATCACAATATACAGTCCTCTGAGGGTAGTGTATTTAGTAGCACTCTTCCCACCAAGATACCAAAATACTCAGTTACTGAAAGTCTTATATACAAAACAGCATAGTATTTACATATAACCCATGCACATCTCTCTAAATAATTTAAATACCTAGATTATTTAGATTATCCAATGTAATACAAATACTATGTAAACAATTATTATATTGTATTAAGTAGGATAAGATGGTAAGAGAGATGTCTGCACTTATTCAAGACAAACACAATTCCTTTTTCTTTAGTATTTTTGACTTGAGGGTTTTTTAAATCTGTAAATATAGAGCCTGTTGATACACAGGATTGACTGCAGAGCAAAAAAGTGCTATACTGCAAATGTATGAAATTTTGCCAAAAAGTTAGAGCAATGATTATAATATGTGCAATATTAAAGAGAAGAGTCTGAAAAGAAAACAAAGCACTTTAGCTTATGTGGAAGCTGACTCTGAAGGTCAGGCAGGTTGAATCCCACACTGTGACCTGGTATGAGGCTCAACAGTCTATCACTATATTCATGGTTTCTTGCTGTCTCACATCTGGCCTCCCCTCTCTCCTTCTCAGCTGAAGTACAACTTAACAACAATGTCTTCATCTTAAGTACTCTAGTCATTGAGCTTTGAAAATTGTGAACACCTATGTATCCACTACTAACAAGTCAGAGGCTCCACAGTGGTCCCCATGCTCTGCTGCCATCCATCCCTTAGGGCCCAGAAGTTGGTGTAAGTCAAGTGCCATAGGGAGGTCTTGTATTTCACAAACACAGGCTCTGATTTGTGCATTCAACTAATTGTAGATAAAAATATTTTTTAAAAAACCCTATGTTTGTATAGAGCATGCACAGACATTTTTATCATTATTTGCTAACCAAGATAGATATTATAATTCTTTACATAGCATTTATATTAGATAAGGTATTGTTATAATTTTAATATGAAATATTCCCACAGGCTCAGGTTTTTGAATAGTTGAACAGTAGAGTACTACATTAGAAAACTGGAAAGATTAGGAGACAGAGTAACTGGAGGAATCAGGTTACTGGGAATATGCCTTTAGAGGTTATACTGGGTATCTAGTCTCTTCCCCCGCTCTCCATTTCCTGTCTGTCATAAGGTGGTTAGTTCTCCACCATGTATTCCAACTACCACAATACCCAGGTCCTTGGAGCCAAGTGACATGAATTGAACCCTGTGAAACCATCAGGTCAAATAAGGCTTTTTAAAAGATGCTATTTGTATCATATAATGCATTGCAGTGATGGGAGGTAACCAATAAACGTATTATAAGTAATCCAGGAATGACTTAAGGTATCTGGATGATTGCTTATAGGTTATATATAAATATTTAGCCATTTTGTATGAATGACTTGAGCATCTAGGGAGCTCCCTATTTTAGGAGAAGCATGGTAGAACTATTCCCCAAGTGGTAAAGTGTAACTATTCCTACGTTGGGTGCTAAAGTGTAAATGGAGTTCATAATTGGTCTAAATAATAAAAACCTGGAATCAAATACAGGAAAATGCTGAGAGACCAGAGAGAAGAAGGAGCCAGCCATAGCCACACCTTACCTCCTTAGAGTCTTAGCAGACAAGAGAGATGAGTTCCTGTTTCTTCCCGCTTATATCCTCTCTCTACACAGCCATCTCACTTCCTGTTTCTCTCCAGCCATCTCACTTCCTGTCTGTCTGTATAGACCTCTACATCTCTATAGTTAGCTAGTGGCAAGTTCCATTCTCTGACCTTCAGACTGGCTTTATTTGTATAAGCAAGATACCACCCCTTGTCTTTGAATCCATAAGAAGTCAGAATAGTAGTTACACAGATATATTGATAATACAACCTCACTTCCTAGTAAATAGCATATTAAAAATAACATGCACATAGCATTTGATATACAGTTGTAGAGGAAACTACTTTAGCTGTTTCTCAAAAAGTTAAATGCATAATTGCCATAGGACCCTGATCTCCCACTCCTGGGTATAAGAGAAAAGTTATTTCACATTTGGCTTGTGCATGAGAGTTCTCTGCAGCATTAAGCTTATATTAACCCCAAAGTGGAAATCACCTAGATGTTCATCAGCTGCTATCCCGAGGAGCACACCATGGGCTATCCATTTAATAGCATGCTACATGCCACAGAAAAGGAATGCAGAGCTAAGAAGATGGTGTGGATGAACCTTGAAGATATGTTAAGTGAAAGACAGCAGATAAACAAGGCCACAGATTGTATGGTCACGCTTACATAAAGTACTCAGAATAGACAAATCCATGGAGACAGAATGTAGATTAGTGGTTGCCAGGCTCAAAGAATGGGACATCAGGGGCTGGCTACTCACATGTGTGGGTTTCTTTATGGAGTTCTGAAAATGTGCTGGAACTGGGTGGTGTGGTGGGTGAATCTGAGGCCCCAGGGTTGCCCACTTTAAGATGGAGAGTACTTAGCAGGCAAGTGATAACTGAACAAAAATAGCCACACAAACATGCGATGAGCTATTTAGACCTTTGCTTAAAATAGATTTCTCAGTTTTGTAAGTTGCTAAAAAGATTTCCGCAGCAAGCATTTGAAAGTGTTATGTAACAGGAGATGAAGTAACACACTCCATCCTCTGATGTC